TATATATATAATAAAAACAGACATTGTATACATTCTATATATGAATTTGTAAAACAAAGGGAAAGAAGACAAGACATCTCATGTCTAGAAGAAGCAAGTTAGCCATTTAAGCACTTCTGAAAAAATGACAGAGCCTCCAACCTGCTACTACTTTCTGTAGGTCTGCTTATCATCATGGCTCAAAACATACTTTTGTAGACTCCTTCTCTGTTAATTTAGATAGCCTGCACAATATTTTTCAGGGAATATCAGTCCAAGGCAAAACAATTTTACTTCAGATTTTCACTGGCAATCAGATTATATTAATTGGATCTCACGGAATGGTGACACCACTAGGGTGAAGAAGAACATAACAGCCTTTAAGGAAAAAGGAGAAGAGTCACTCACCAGTCTTTAAAGCAAATATTAGGTCATCAAACTCCTGTGATTCCTCATCAGCTACCAATGAGCCGGTACTAAATCCTCCGGAAGGGTGGAAAACATTGCCATTTTGTGGACTTTGCTTAAAGGCAGCACTAGCTTGACTAGCAGGCTGCAAGGATGCCCTCTCCCAGTCTGCAGGCACCTGCAAAGTTTAAAAAGGCACAGAAATGCAGTAATCATCAAAACTGTAGTACAAAAACTGGAAACTATGACCAGAGCCAAACTCAAGACCAAAAGATTTTGGAGCCAGCTGTTCTGTCACTTCTAGAGTGAACAAAGTAGTTTGTTGGGTTTTTGTTTATTGTTTTGGGGGTTTTTTTAGGTATACTTATATTTATATATATATATATACTTATATATATACACACACACACACATATTACTTGATTACAAGTAATTTAACTTTGTGTTTGTTATGCCTGTACTAGCTATCTCAAAAAGTTGAAAAAATGTTGCTATTTCTAAACATTGGCCCCTGGTATGAAGAACTTCAAATTAAAGCATTGAAAAGTTCCAGCTCACTCTTCTCTTACCACCCTCTCATCCTCTGCTGGACCCTGCTTCTCCCTTCTGTAGCCACTAATCATCATTACTTTCCATTATATGATCTACAGTTGGCAACCCACTGTTTCCCATGTTTACCAATAATATATTTTAAAGTAATCTGACAGTCTATGACAGTTCTGGAGGTAGTACACAGCCCTACAGTTTTGATATGAACTTTGCTACAGTTCATTGGCCACTCTGGTTTAAGGTGGAGCTGCTCAAAAATTCAGAATTTCAGTTCATCAGAAAAGAAGTGGTTTTGAAAACCTATCTCCTCCTTAGATTGATGAAAAGCCAAAATACTGAACTCTTAAAAAAAACCCCAAAAACTATTTTAGGACAAGCAAAATATATTTTCTTGGTTTACTGGTCACCCCTGTTTAGGGGCTGAGGAATATAAAAGCTGGCCAGGTAGACCTGAGAAGCTATGCTGTCCACTAAGCTGGGGAGTCAGGCACCAACTCAAGTGAAACGCTGAGAAGTTGAATAAATGTAGTGCTCTGCCAGGATGCAGCTGAGGAGCTTTAAAATCCAGAAAAACCTACAGTCAAGCAGATAGAGAAATGGGCAAAACAGCTGCCAGGTGAGAAGTTTGGTTTCCACAAAATTTTTTACTAGAACTGACATGTTCCCTTGAAATACTTCAGTTCCGTTAAATTGGTGTTTTTCCTAGAAAAACTGTTTAGCTGGAGAATTTTCAAATAGCTCTATCAACATGAACATGTACATAACAGCAAAAGTCACCTTGGTTTACTACAGGTAGTGAAAAGTGATACTAGCAGCATTCCAGTTCCAGCAACAATGAGATTGAAAACAATCTTCCTCAAAATTTCTATTCTATCCCATTCCATTCCAATTTACTCTAATTTTATTCTATTGTGTTGCAATTTCCAGAAGTTTCATGCAGCAAGACTCTGGAAAATTAAAAGACCTAAAACTCATCTAATATTTATAGTAAGCTGAAATAATTAACTTGATATGTTGATTTCTCATTACCTACTCTTGACAACACTTTAACCAGCCTCTATAACAACTTGAAGACTCAAGTAGAAAAGGAGAAATTCTCTAGATGGAATGTTACCAGGGAATTTTAAGTCCCAAGAGTATCACCATGGCTAAAGATAACAATTTTTTGGGGGGAAAAACAATAATAATCCCCATCTTCCCCAAAGCCAACCCAACCTATAATAATTATCATCTCATTCCTCTGTTTTACATTTCAGTACTGCCACTTAAATTTCCAGGTACGTTTTCAATACACAAGGTAAGGAGTGTAGAGCACTGTTACCTCTTCCATAGCACTGATGAGGTTCTGAGTGGACTTGCTGATCTCTCCACCCGCAGCTGGAAGACCACTGCCATGTGTGAAAAAAGCTGATCCTGGAGTTGTATGCCCATTCATGTCTACAGTATAACTTGCTTTCACTGGACAGCAAAGTTGGTTGTGCAGGATAAAATACACCACAAAGACATAAAGACCCTGAAACAAAGGAAAAAAAAAAAAACAGTGTGTGAAATGTAGGGAGCTTAGGTCAGAGTTTGAACGCAGTCATGGCATGGTCCTATATGCTGTAGCAGATGCCTTCTCTTACACCATCAGTCCATGCCTCAAAGGGGTGCAGCCAGTTTCTATGGAAAATACGAGACAACGTCACTGCCCATCAGAGATCTGGAAGTTAAAAGTAAATTCATATCCTGAGGCCTCCAGCTCAACCCCCACACGCGCACAAAAAAACCCCAACCCAAAAAGAGTAATTGAAAATTATTTGGTTCAACCCACACGGCTACAAAGCAAAGCCAAGATCCCAACAACAACAACAAAACCAACTCGAGTTTCACAGTTGTCATAATACTGAAGATGTGGTTAAGGGCCGCCTTTACAATAGGATTTGGCTGATGGCCCCTAGCCACAATTCTTCATTTCCTTACTGACCTGCTGGCTATTCGCATTCTTGCCCCAATTTCAATCTCGTGCAAACTGCACTGCTGCCGTCACAGATACCAAGTCGTAACTATAAATTAAATTCTCTGTGATATCCAATAATTCAGCACTGTCTTTCATTTGTGATTACTACAAAAGCTCTGCTGTACGCCTCTGCATTCTTCCTTAAAACTTGTTAATTTTGACCTTTAGACTTAGCCAAGAAAAGTATTATAACCACGTTTTTTGTTTGCAAAGAAATACAGTGATTGAACTTCTCAATATGGAATCTGACTTTCTCTAATTTTTAAGTTGCACTAATATTGAGGGAAAACAATTCATTTCAGTTCATAAATCAACGAGTTCAATAACTACTAAAGAAGGAGTTAACCAAAAGAGTACAAAGAAAAGACTTCTGGATTCTTCCTGACTGCTGCAATACAATTAAATTTGCATTGTTTTTTGTATTTCACATTGTCCTCTAGACCGCTGAAACCAATTGTACTAAGCAGAACAATTTATTGGAAAGATGCCCATTGGCATAAAAGTAGTAACTGGGATTATAAATAGTAAGGAGTTTCATCTAATTATATTTGAAAATTCCTATTGGAAGGAATCTTGAAAATACAGGGAGACAGCAAACACACAAGATACATTTCATTTCCATCTGTATAAAACAGACAGCAGCACTTCATGATCCGCAGATTCATGATTTCTAATGCCAAAACTATACGAAAAAACAGTCAAAGTGACACATAACAGAAGTTAACAGCATTCAATGGGATTTCAGTCTCAGCTGGTCAAACACTGGAAATAGCCTCAAACAGCTGCTGTAAAGCCATACAGCTCCATGTACGCATTTTTTAACAGCAAACCAGCAAACAAAAGTGTTAAAAACCAACTGTTTTGAGAATATATTTTCCCACTCTTCCAGATTATTGCTTTTTGTCAGAAGGACCCAGAGCAGTTAACTGAAAGGAAATTTCTTTGTGATACATGTAAGTAAATACATTCCAAAAAACTGATGCAAATGCATGTTGCACTTAAGAGACACTAAAAAGGAACCAAAATGTCCTTTCATTCTATAAACAAATCCAAAGACTCTGATGTAGGTCAAGCATAATGGGACCAGAAATGGATTTCTTTTAATTTAAGTTGTTTAATGGATATGAAAAGGATAAAAAACCCAAGAAGAAGAGATAACAGTGATGACACTGAATTCAGAGCAGCCTCTGGCATTTCGGTCTCTGAGGACCTACCCACAGAATTTGCACACACGTTTCAAGAGGGTTTGTACTTTTCAAGAAAATCCATTAGCTGAAAATGTTGCACAGCCCTGTCTTGCAGAATCGCAGGGACATAAGGCATTGGTATGCAAGGTCCATGCTGTGTCACTCTCCTGTGCAGCCCCAAGTTTGGACATTCACTCTTCTAAAACAAATAAACATGGAATAAAGTGCCACAATCATCTCCTTAACTCAGCCTGGTGTCTTGATTTAACTCTCTGTGTGTTTCAGACAGTGCTACTTCTGAGGAACTATTGTTCTATCAGAACCACAGAAAGGTGTTTTGGCACTTGAAGCATCCTTGCTGCTACTCCTCCCTGCTACCACCACTTCTGCCCTTTACTGTCATGCAGAGATGTGGACCTTTGTCCTCAGCAGCAGGAGCCAACATCGCTGAGATGCATCACTTGAGACGCATCACCTCCTGTGGCACTCCTGCTGCTGAGAAGGACCTTCAGTATGTGCAATTCAGAGAACTCCCACATAGTGATGTCGATGGATGGTGAGACAACTCCTCTGGGTCCTTCTATAAGGAGCACATGGAGTCAGAGAGGTTATTTGACTGTCTAAGGACAGGAGGAGTCACAGGCTGAGTTACCTAACAGGAAAAAAAAAAAAAAAAAAGGTGAGTTTTACGTCTCCTACTCTTGTAAAATATTACAGCAATGTCTTACAAACAGAAGCTTATACCTGACAAAACCCAACGTTCCTAAGTAGGTTCTAAGTTTACACAGGAACTGTGTTGCTGGGTAGAATTTTTCTTGTTTAGCTGGAAAAAGGATGGAACCTTCTCTGATCCATATTCCTATCCAAATCTAGAGTCTCAAGAAGATACACTCTGTAGAGGTGAGCTCCTATGTGCCATCACCATGGTTTTGTTTGCAGTATCAAAAGGGGCTTGTGGTCTTCTTCTCACTACTCTGTCTCTTAGAAATCACTGCAACTGAATTTGGGGAAAGCAAAACAAGGCAAATGGTCCTTCCCAAACAACACTAAGTTCCAACAATCCTACACATGAAGATGCCATGGATCAAGTCATATTGATCTGTGCTTGTCTCAGCACCAGCAGCTACCAGACTGTTTGAAAGAGCACAGGCAGGATGCAGACACTCGGGTTGTGTCAGTGCAACCACAGTTTTCACAGTCTCAGTGGGTTTCTTCAAAAGCACTAGTTTGAGAATGGAATTGTCCTTCACCACACTTTTGACACTCAGTATGTTCTTTTTCACTTCAACTTTTAACACTGTAAAAATAGAGTACTATGAAAACAAGGCTGTTGACATTGTAATATATGTTTCATGGTGTTTATTATATAAACTTTGGCCAAGTTGGCACCACTTTACTTTTTCAGAGACACACAGACATCATCCTTACTAATTGTACCAAGTATGAAATGCAGAGAATAGTCAAATTCTGTTGACAGGTCTACCAGATCTGCAGGATACTCAGAGGAGAAACCTCCACTAAGGGATCCACAAAGGGATTGAAAAAAGATAGGTCTGGGTACGGATATTAATAACACAGGTGATGACAGCTCTTAAAAATGTGGTAAATATTAATTTTGTATTCTTAAGAAGATTTTGTAAAAAAAAAAACCAAGCTAACATCCAAAACCTCATCTGAGTACCAATGTCCTTGACTGTTGCATACAAATTCAGAGCCATTCTCCTCAGTCCACAAGCAAGTACAGAAAGGCCATGTCATTTATGGTTACATTATGATAGTAGTATTAATACAACATCACAGTAAAAGACAAGAGGAAAAAGTGTTATTAATGCATCTGCCATGGAGGAAGGTGAGATCTACTTCAAGGAAATAATTAGGCTGCCCCAAAGGTGGGAGCACAGACAGGCAACTTATAGTTCTTCTCAGATGTGGTGGCTGGCTGAAAAATGTTTGTATGACATTGTCAGTAAAGGCTGATTGTTATTTCACCCATATATGCTGATGGAAGACAATAAAGCTCTTGTTATTTCACCTTAGCAAGCTGCTCTGTACATCTGCTCTTTTTGCACTGCTATGTCAGGCGGAAAAAAAAAATCCAGAAAAACTGTATCTACAACCATCTGAAGGAAAGTTCACATGCAAAAGAGTCCAACAGGACCTTTTCAACTAGTGAGACGTGAACAGCCTCAATGCTGCTCTAGGCTATGCCAGATACTTCACCAATCTTCTTTTGGATTTGCTACAGATACTTGACCAACTTGATTTCTGTGACTGGCCCAGTGGACAAGGGGAGAGCAGTGGATCATGTCTGCTTTGAGTTTTGCAAGGCTTTCACCATGGTCTCCCACTGCACTCAGGTACCCAAGTTAGAACATTGTTGTCTAGATGGGCAAAGCACTGGACGGGTAAGAACTTGACCAAGTCCAGTGGAGGGCAATCAAGATGGTCAGGAGTTCAAGCACATGCCCTGTGAGGATAGGCTGAGGGAACTGGGATTTTCAGCATGAATAAGGCTCAGATGGGAATTAATAACCATTAACTGTTATTAGTTTCCCATACACAAGAACTGGTTCCTAAGAAGACAGAGGGACATGGTAGGGGACTGAAATATCAGTCCTAAGTAGAAACAGGGGAGGTTCCAACTGGATATAAGGAAAATATATTCAATGTGAGGGTAATTAAGCAATGGAACAAGTTGTCCAGAAAGACTGTGGAAAGTCTCTAGAGGAGAAGAAGGGATGGGGTTTTTTTTGGTACATTTAATAATCTGTGGGAAGGTTTGGTGTATGCATGGGTGTGAGGAGGATCCTCATATATAACAGATTGATTTATTTATTCTGTGGAGTGACAGCTGCAGGAAGCTGGTAAATTAAGGACTGACTTCCAGAGCTGTCAATAAAAGCACAGAATGTATTTTACACTTCATAATATCACATGCAAACCCAGAGGACTGATCCATAAAAAGCCTTCATTGCACTTTTGACACTCGTAGTCTCCCTCTGTCTCTTTATCCTCCAATTCTGCATGTTCCAACTCACTGTGCTGACACTACAGTATGTCTAAATTTAAGATAACTTCTGCTAATAATAATGAGAAAGGATACAACTGACTACTGTAGCCCATCAATGAACCTCTTCATTATCTCCCTTTTACACACTGAGAGAAAACTAAGTTGTTCACTGTATACCATAATTTTAAATTAATCTTGTAAAAGAAAGGAGACCAATCCTTTTTTTGGTCTAAGGAACACAAGCACACCAAGGCATTAGATTAAAAAAAGCCCAAACAAACAAAAAAACACAACAAAAAATGAAAACATCATAATTC